AGAGTTACGGGCCGGCCCCCGGGAGACGGGGGTGGGCAGTTACACGCGGCGGAGGAGATGGGGGACTTGGTTTTTCCGAACTGGCGAGTGGGACGCACGCCTGACCCTTCCTTCCACCCTTCCTTCCTTCCTTCCTTCCCACTCCATCGCCCATCTGTGGCGTTGACCTGCTGTCGGCCCGTGCCTCATTCCCGGGAGCGCCAGGCCTCAGGACCCCCAGAGAGCAGAGGTGGGGAGACGGGAAGGTCTCAGAGGAAGCTTGGTTAGTTTCTTTTCTTTTCTTTTCTTTTTGAGTTGGAGTCTCGCTCGGTCGCCCAGACTGGAGTGCAGTGGCCGCTCCCGGCCACCGCAGCCTCGACCTGCTGGGCTCCGGCGATCCTCCCGCCTCAGCCTTCCAAGTAGCCGGAACTACAGGCGCGTGCTACCACGGCCGGCTCATTTTGATTTATTGTAGAGATGAGGTCTTGCCAAGTTGCCCAAGCAAGTCTCGGAAAGAATATTCTTAAGAGAATCCCCTAAGATCTCAGCCTCTGAGGAGCCTAGTTAGCTCCTCCTCTTGGTAGGAAAACCCTATTCATGCCTTTGCCCTGCCTGTCTTCTATTCACCGAACAGGAAGATGATAATAGTGCTTATGAGACTCTTACCATTTATTTATTCGGTAAATATTTATTAAGCATCTATTTCTCACCAGGCACTGTTTAGTGTCCTTCGGATATACCAGTGAGCTCTACAAAGATCAAGGCCTTCCGTGAGCTGACTTTCTAGCAGGAGAGACAGACAATAAACATAATTTAAGTTACTAAGCTATTACATGTTGATAAGTACTTGCGGGAAAAGTAGATCAAGGGAATGTGAAAGTACCCAGGTGCCGGTGATGGTGTGATTTAAAACAAGGTGGTGACCAGGTGTGGTGGTTCACACATGTGATCTCAAGCACTTTGGGAGGCCTAGGTGGGAGGACCACTTGAGGTCAGGAGTTTGAGACCAGCCTGGGCAACATGGAAAGACCTTGTCTCTAGTTTTTTTTTAAAAAGCCAGTTGTGGTGGCTTGCACCTGCAGTTTTGGCTACTCAGGAAGCTGAGGAAAGAGGATCATTTGAGCTCAGGCGTTAGAGGCTGCAGTGAGCTAAGATCACTCCACCATACTCCAGCCTGGGCAACAGAGCAAGTCTCTGTCTCAAAATAAAATAAAATAAAATAGGGTGGTCAAGAAGACCTTATTAAGGACCTTATGAAGAAGGTGCAGGGAAGAGCATTTCAGACAGAGGGCACAGCCAGTGCAAGGGCCCTAAGGCAGGAGGGTGCCTGTGTCCCTAAGGCAAAGAGGTGGGTATGGCCTGAGTTGAATGAGCAAGAAGGAGCCTGGCAGGAGAAGAGCTGAGAGACATAGCATGAACGGCTTTTTGCCATCCTAAGGATTGTGGCTTGTCATCTGAGTATGACGAGGAGGGATTGCAGAGTTTTGACCAGAGGACTAACATAAGCTTCCTTATTTTGGTAATGGCTTTACTGAAATATTAATTCACATCCCATGCCATTTACTCATTTTTTTAGATTGGAAAATATAGTTTATTTAGAAATTAGAAGAGATTCACCTCCCCAAGGTAGAGGAGGGGGTTAAAGCTAGGAAAACATGGTGACCACAGCTCAACGAGCCAAGTAGCCAGACCAGAATTTAGTAAAGTGATCCATTTACCCATTTAAAGGGTTCATTTGGTTTTTAGTATATTCACAGTTGTGTAACAATACCACAATCACAAAATATTGTAAAACATTTTCCTTCCCATCAAAAGGAACCCTACCTTTAGCTTTCACCCTATCCCCACCCCATCTCCAGTCCCAGACAACCACAAATCTACTTTTTGTCTCAGTAGAGATTTGTCTCTTCTTAACTTTTCATTTAGATAGAATCATACAATATGTGACCTTTTGTGTGTGGCTTCTTTCACTTAGCATAATGTTTTCGAAGTTCTTCCATTTTTAGCAATCAATACTTCCTTTTTATGGCCAAATAATATTCCATTGTATGGTTCTACCGCATTCTACTTTTCTATCCATTTATCAGTGGCATTTGGGAAACTTACTTTTTTACAAATTTATTCTTAATTATGGTAAAATACACATAACAAACATTACCACTTTAACTATTTTAAGTGTTAGCTCAGTAATGTTAAGTATATTCACATTGTTTGTAACCAAGCTCCTAAGTTTTTCATCTTGCAAAACTGAAACTGTATCTATTACAAAAAAACAACTCCAGCCTGGCACTTTGGGAGGCCAAGGCTGAAGGATCACTTGAGGAAAGGCATTCAAGACCAGCCTGGGCAACATATCAAGATCCTGTCACTACAAAAAATTAAACAATTAGTCAGGCATGGTGGCACCTGCCTGTAGTCCCAGCTGCTCCAAAGGTCAAGGTGGGAAGATTCCTTGAGCCCAGGCATTGGAGGCTACAGTGAACCATGATTGCACCACTGCACTCCAGCCTGGGCAGCAGATTGAAGACCTCTCTCAAAAGCACAAATCCCCATTTCCTCTTCCCAGCTCCCAGCAACCACCATTCTACTTTGTTTCTATGAATTGCCTGTTCTAGGTAACTCATGTCAATGACATCGTACTGTATTTATGATTGGCTTACATAACTTAGTATGCTATTTTCTTTTCTTTTTTTCTTTTTCATTGAGTTGAGTCTCACTCTGTCACCCAGACTGGAGTGCAGTGGCCACTCCCGGCCACTGCAGCCTCGACCTACTGGGCTCCGGCGATCCTTCCGCCTCAGCCTTCCAAGTAGCTGGAATTACCGGC